TATGCGAGACTGACTCAAAATAAACCGCAGAGTGTGCTCATGGTAATGAAGGAATATGTCAGCCAGTGCAACAGCGAGGCTCACTGATGTGTTAGTAATAAATTCTGACAACAGTGGAGCTCTTTAAGAACAGCAGAATCAGGCACAATACTTCTAGTTGGATCAGTGCTGATTTGTCTTTGGATGTGACTTGTTGACAATCTGAAAAACATAGAAATTGCTAGTTTTATTACTAAGACACAGGCAAGGAAATAATAAAGGATGGCAGAGAACCGGCATTTTAGCAAATACAACGCTTACATTTAAAATACGCTGGAATAATTTCATTATATGTAGCTGGATTGATGCCGGTGTGATTTATTACATCGTCATAACTTTATAAAAGGAGTTAATGGACTTTATTACATTTACTGTTGTTTTCTAGTGTCGGTGGTCACAGTCCTGAACTCCTGTAGTTACCAGAATGCTTTGATAGAAACATACACGTTATATAACTGCGTGTGTCGTTCAACCTAAATGAACACATTTACATTTAAAGTGCCTACCATAGGCTCAGAGGGCTATTCATTTTCTGTGTGAAGTCATTGTTTTGCTGATGCAATGTCTGTTCGAGGAGCAAACATCCCTTTTCCATTTAGTGCAACACCTCTCTCTGCTCAGTTTAACAGTAAATGTTCCCAACGTGGGCAATCCCGGAGGGCATCAAGTATTCTCACGCCGCTGAGCATCAGGAACGCCGACAACAACCTTGATTTACCCACGAACAAAGCAGCAACAAAAAAACCCCACTTCCTTTTGTATCATTGCAGCAGCTGTGCTGAGGAACCTTGAGCTACACTTAGGACAACTACAATGTCTTCCATTTGTAACTGATAACAGCTGGATAACAGCTGGATCAGGTGTTAAACAGTATTCGTGCCATGGCTTTTGGTTTCCGCTCTGTTACTTCCTCCTTTCTTTAGTAATGCTTGGTTCTTGTTCATTCCAATTTTCTGCAACACCTGATACCAAACAGATAATCATATTCCCCAGTGTATACTTTGCTGCATGTGCAAACATACATAGAAATACAGCATATAAAGCAGAAAGCAGGCACACGATTGTCCGTGAAACATTAAATGCATTAATGTATTGTTTAGGAGTCAGATGCTCTTCAGATGAACTCAAAATCGAATGGTACTTTATGACAGAGCCTCCACCATGTTTCACAGACGGCTGTAGACTCTCACCTCTCTCCTGCCCTCCATACATATTGATGGAGTTTCAAAATTGGAGTCATCGTGCTGTAAAACCAGGCATTTTAACACGGGAGTCTGTGGAAACTGACTTCCCTCAAGTGTCCATTATAAGAATTTTTGGCACTTCCACATTAGCTTCATTTGTCAGCTCCGGAGGGCGGTGCTTAAATATTCAAAGCTGAAAAAAGGCACATGTTCTATTTACATAGGCACAGGTGTGACAGCTTCTACTCCAAACAGCAAACATCTGCACCTGCTCTTCCAAAATCAACATCTGTCTCTCTGGGAGAGGGCCCTGAACAAACCACAGTTTGAGAGTAAGTCAACAGCAACGTGGCGGCCTGAAGCCTCGAACAACAGCTGCTCACTAGAATGATGCAGGACTTCGGTCTCACTTCTCCATACCTGCCACCCCTCTCATGCATTTCCAGCACAACATGTTTTATCTCTTGCAAACAATAAATCATAGAAAAGCCAACAAAATTCATTCAGAATCTCACCCTGACTCTTCAACCTGGTTTCACGGCCAAATGTGTAATATGCACACAATCAGAAGTAATCGTGGGAAAGTGTTTAAACAGACATTATTACCACATTTACATGTAAATACATATTAACCGCCTAGCTTAATTGTTTCTGGGAATTTAGGACCCGGGAATGCACTTTTTTGCTCACTACCGCCTTCTTGGCTTTAAATGTATTATCTCCCCCTGCTGGTAATGCAACATCTGCACGTGTGCCCATTTTACGGGCACGGTTAACCGGCATGTCTGTTGCACCCTTTGTCGTGACCAGTGTTGGGGAGTAACGGAATACATGTACCGCCGTTACGTATTTAAAATACAAAATATGAGTAACTGTATT